GTGTCCCCGTGTCCCCCTGACCCCTGAGTGCCCCCGGGTGACCCCGTTATCCCTGTTTCCTGCAGGGAATGTTCCGGAAGAGCTGCGGGACCCCTTCTACACCCACCCTGTGTCCCTCTGTCCCTCTGTCCGTGTGTCCCTGTGTCCCTGTGTCCCTGTGTCCATGTCCCTGTGTCCCTGTGTCCGTGTGTCCCTGTATCCCTGTCCCCGTGTCCCCCTGCCCCCGGGTGACCCCGTTATCCCTGTTTCCCTCAGGGAACGTTCCGGAAGAGCTCCAGGACCCCTTCTACACCCACCCTGTGTCCCTCTGTCCCTGTGTCCGTGTGTCCATGTCCGTGTGTCCATGTCCCCGTGTCCATGTCCCTCTGTCCCTGTGTCCCTGTGTCCGTGTGTCCATGTCCCCGTGTCCCCCTGACCCCTGAGTGCCCCCGGGTGACCCCGTTATCCCTGTTTCCCGCAGGAAACATTCCGGAAGTGCTCCAGGACCCCTTCTACACCCACCCTGTGTCCGTGTGTCCCTGTGTCCGTGTGTCCCTGTGTCCCTGTGTCCGTGTTTCCCTGTATCCCTGTCCCCGTGTCCCCCTGACCCCGGGTGACCCCGTTATCCCTGTTTCCCTCAGGGAACGTTCCGGAAGAGCTGCGGGACCCCTTCTACACCCACCCTGTGTCCGTGTGTCCGTGTGTCCCTGTGTCCCTGTGTCCCTCTGTCCCTGTGTCCCTGTGTCCCTCTGTCCCTGTGTCCGTGTGTCCCTGTGTCCCCCTGACCCCCGAGTGACCCCGGGTGACCCCGTTATCCCTGTTTTCTGCAGGGAACGTTCCGGAAGAGCTCCGGGACCCCTTCTACACCCACCCTGTGTCCGTGTGTCCCTCTGTCCCTGTGTCCCTGTGTCCCTCTGTCCCTGTGTCCCTGTGTCCCTCTGTCCCTGTGTCCGTGTGTCCGTGTGTCCCCCTGACCCCTGAGTGACCCCGGGTGACCCCGTTATCCCTGTTTTCCGCAGGGAACGTTCCGGAAGAGCTGCGGGACCCCTTCTACACCCACCCTGTGTCCCTCTGTCCCTCTGTCCGTGTGTCCATGTCCGTGTGTCCCTCTATCCCTCTGTCCCTGTGTCCCTCTGTCCCTGTGTCCCTCTGTCCCTGTGTCCCTGTGTCCCCCTGCCCCCGGGTGACCCCGTTATCCCTGTTTCCCTCAGGGAACGTTCCGGAAGATCTCCGGGACCCCTTCTACACCCACCCTGTGTCCCTGTGTCCCTCTGTCCCTGTGTCCCTCTGTCCCTGTGTCCATGTCTCTCTGTCCCTGTGTCCCTGTGTCCATGTCCCTGTGTCCCCCTGACCCCTGAGTGCCCCCAGGTGACCCCGTTATCCCTGTTTCCCTCAGGGAACGTTCCGGAAGAGCTGCGGGACCCCTTCTACACCCACCCTGTGTCCGTGTGTCCCTGTGTCCCTCTGTCCCTGTGTCCCTCTGTCCCTCTGTCCCTGTGTCCCTGTGTCCATGTCCGTGTGTCCCCGTGTCCCCCTGCCCCCAGGTGACCCCGTTATCCCAGTTTCCCTCAGGGAACGTTCCGGAAGAGCTCCGGGACCCCTTCTACACCCACCCTGTGTCCGTGTGTCCCTCTGTCCCTGTGTCCCTGTGTCCCTGTGTCCATGTCCCTGTGTCCATGTCCGTGTGTCCCCCTGACCCCTGAGTGCCCCGGGTGACCCCGTTATCCCTGTTTTCCGCAGGGAACGTTCCGGAAGAGCTCCGTGACCCCTTCTACACCCACCCTGTGTCCCACTGTCCCTCTGTCCCTGTCCGTGTGTCCCTGTGTCCCCCTGACCCCGGCTGACCCCGTTATCCCAGTTTCCCTCAGGGAACATTCTGGAAGAGCTGCGGGACCCCTTCTACACCCACCCTGTGTCCGTGTGTCCCTCTGTCCCTCTGTCCCTGTGTCCCTCTGTCCCTGTGTCCCTGTGTCTCTCTGTCCGTGTGTCCATGTCCCCCTGACCCCTGAGTGACCCCGGGTGACCCCGTTATCCCTGTTTTCCGTAGGGAACGTTCCGGAAGAGCTGCGGGACCCCTTCTACACCCACTCTGTGTCCATGTGTCCCTCTGTCCCTCTGTCCCTCTGTCCCTCTGTCCGTGTGTCCCCGTGTCCCCCTGAGTGCCCCCAGGTGACCCCGTTATCCCTGTTTCCCTCAGGGAACGTTCCGGAAGAGCTGCAGGACCCCTTCTACACCCACCCTGTGTCCCTCTGTCCCTGTGTCCGTGTGTCCATGTCCGTGTGTCCATGTCCCCGTGTCCATGTCCCCGTGTCCATGTCCCTCTGTCCCTGTGTCCCTGTGTCCCTCTGTCCCTGTGTCCGTGTGTCCCTCTGTCCCTGTGTCCCTCTGTCCCTGTGTCCCCCTGACCCCTGAGTGCCCCCGGGTGACCCCGTTATCCCTGTTTCCCGCAGGGAACGTTCCAGAAGAGCTGCGGGACCCCTTCTACACCCACCCTGTGTCCCTCTGTCCCTGTGTCCATGTGTCCCTGTGTCCATGTCCGTGTGTCCCCCTGCCCCCGGGTGACCCCGTTATCCCTGTTTTCCTCAGGGAACGTTCCGGAAGAGCTGCGGGACCCCTTCTACACCCACCCTGTGTCCGTGTGTCCCTCTGTCCCTCTGTCCCTGTGTCCCTGTGTCCATGTCCGTGTGTCCCCCTGACCCCCGAGTGACCCCGGGTGACCCCGTTATCCCTGTTTCCCGCAGGGAACGTTCCGGAAGAGCTGCGGGACCCCTTCTACACGGACCAGTACGCTCAGGAGCACCTGAAGCCGCCGGTGGAGCGGCTCCTCCTCGCCTCCGACCTTTACTGCCGCGCCTGGTGCCACGCCCTGGCCACGCCCGGCCAGGCCCCGCCCACCTCGGCCGCGCCCAGCAAGGCCCCGCCCCCGGAGCCCCCCCCCGCCGACCTGGGGGCGCTGCTGGGGCTGCTGGCGGGGAGGGGGGTCCCCCCCACCCTCCAGGGGGTCCCAGTGAGGGTCCAGGACCTCCAGCAGAGACCCATCCGCATGGTACTGGGGATACTGGGAGCACTGGGAGCGCTGGGAGTGCTGGGGAGGGAACTGGGAGGGAATTGAGAGGATACTGGAGGGAATGGGGGGGACACTGGGGGGAATGGGGGGTCCCCCCACCCTCCAGGGGGTCCCAGTGAGGGTCCAGGACCTCCAGCAGAGACCCATCCGCATGGTACTGGGGATACTGGGAGCACTGGGAGCACTGGGGGGGGCACTGGGAGGGAATTGAGAGGATACTGGAGGGAATGGGGGGGACACTGGGGGGAATGGGGGGTCCCCCCACCCTCCAGGGGGTCCCAGTGAGGGTCCAGGACCTCCAGCAGAGACCCATCCGCATGGTACTGGGGATACTGGGAGCACTGGGAGCACTGGGGGGGGCACTGGGAGGGAATTGAGAGGATACTGGAGGGAATGGGGGGG